ACACACACACACACACACACACACACACACACACACACACACACACAGAGTCAAAGCATAATGGCCGTAGTTCAGAAAGCGCATAATGACGTGACTGTTGCCTCTTGCACAGCGCTCGTGTATACACTCCCAGAAATAGAGCAAATATTGACGTCTCTGATTTCTCCTCTTGCGCGAGTAACTTTTGCACCTTTCGCAGGGTTCCAATAATCTCATGCATGCCGTGGTCTTGAAGCGAGGGCTAAGAATCTGTGTGTGTGTGTGGTCAATTTTTATTAAATGTCCTCTATTCATTAACAGTGACAAAGAAGCATCTGTACACTGCATTCATGCTTTCGATGTTATATGTAATGCACTTTGAATTACCTTGCTACTGAAATATGCTAGACAAACAAACTGGCTTTGCCTTCAAAATAAAAGACTGGTGCACTTTTCTTTTTTTTTCTTTTTTTTACATCTGCAGCCTCCCAAGCCATCTTGGCGACATCTGACTTTGAATAGCAATGAATCTTCCCATTTGTCTTCCCTCGCTGTGAGTGGCAGACAGTCTTGTGGAACAATGCGGGAGGTTAATCAAACCCCAGTCATGGTGGTGACCTCTGGTCGAGGTCAAGGGCTACGCTGGAGGGCGCCAGACGAGGCAAACCGATTGGCTGAGACGTGTCGGTGTCGGAGGAGACAAAGGTCATGGGCTGGAGAGGGAAGTGTAATAGATATGCAGGGTAACACCCCCCCTCCCCCCTATTTATAAGCAGCGCATACGCTTTTAACAAACACACCATAATGCAGTTGTAAGCAAACATGAGGACATGTTCAAGTGTTAGTTACATGGTGTTTGTCAACAATTATAACTTCTCTTATGGAGGCATATTTTACATCATTACAACTGTGTTTTATTGCCATTCACTATCCGTTTATACAGCAGCCTCCACTTATTAAACTCACAGGAGTTGTTGTTGATAAATTCATTAACAAACTTTTAAAATCTGCTTACAAGTGCATTACAGTGTGTTAAACCATTTATTGCATGTTTATAAACTGATTATAAAATATAAACTGCGTATACTTCCTGTTTGCAAATTAAACACATTAGTGCTAAATTAGTTGGAAGATTATTCGCCAACAATTGTGATTGAAATTAATTATGAATTTAAAGGAATAGTTAAACATGTTGGGAGAAATGCTTATTCGCTGAGAGTTAAATTACAAAACACACGCTACCCCTGGTACAAACACAACACAGCATGAGACGTGATAGAATCTTTTATTTTTGTGTTGGTTTTGGTAGTTTCATGGTAATTAGTTGACAATATGATAAAAAGTAGATTATCGACAATGTCATTCATCAGCCTAGTTTTTCAGATGTAAAGGTGTTGAGCTTTTATCTTCTTATAATAATGTTAATTGAATATCTGAGTTTTGGCCTGTTGGTCGGACGAAACCAGCAAACTGGCAGAAATCCTTATCCTTATCCTTATTTGCAACATTAAAAAGTGCATAAACATTCAATGTAATTGAATATATGCATGTACATTTTAAAAACTATACTCAGTTTTCATGTACATGTTTGACGTCGGTATCTGTTGAACAGAACTGTACTGAAATACCATTTAAATTCATTATATCAAGCATATTGAGTTCTGCTTTCTTACTATGACTCATCATCACACCTGGAATCGATATCCAGTGCTGGTTTGAGTCACACAGGTTTCTTTCCTGTCGTGGCACTGACGTAGACTTAAAGACACGGACATTATGAAGAGGCCATGGGGAATGGAAGCACCAGCAGCTTTCCTATTACCCATCCAGCCTGACCTCTATATCTCCCAGTCTGAACACAGTGTTGGGGAAAAAAACAGACTGGGTTCCTTTAATCAATGCTCCACACCGACACTTGACCTGACAGCCAGAGTGACCATAACGTGTGAAGGTACATTTTGATGAGCCGATTAAACAGCTCTCCACAGATGTGATTAAATGGCATTCATGCCACAAGCAGGTAGTGGGTGGATCATTATTGATGGTGGTGTGCTTCATGAAATGGCATGCAGGTTGGACTTTTGGCTATATGGACATTTCTCAAAAGGCAAAACAACTACCTTTTTTTCTGTCTTTGAGAATCTAATGGTGTCCTGCAACACTGACCAATAGGCTGAAGGAGCAGACCGACAGTGGAATACCTAGCGGTGGTGTTTCACTGAGGCGTTCTGTGCCTCAGTGAAAGTGAATTTAAGATGCTTTATCAGAGAGAGACAAACAGGGAGAGCAAGAGAGGGAACTCGCGATTGAGTGCAACCAGCAGAAGCATTGTCCCCTCGCCGAGTGACACACCATCTCTTCCTCCCTGGACACAGACCCTTCTTTGTTTGTTCCCTGGGGCCAAACGAGTTCAAACAGAGGGGAGCGGGGGGGGGGGGGGGCAGAGCAGAGAGGAATCTTTGGATGGAGGGATGGAGGGGCAAGAGAAGGAGATGGCAGGAGACAGAGACTGATGAAGAGAGACTCTTTTTGGCTGACAGGATGCAGCCTGTTTGGAAAGGGAGGAAAGGCAAAGGGAGGGGTGTGTGTGTGTGTGTGTGTGTGTGTGTGTGTGTGTGTGTGTGTGTGAAAGAGAATTAAGGGGCATCTCCACAGCAGGCTTTGCACGCTTTCCCTGCATCTGTGGTTACGCGTAGCCCATGAAAAGAGTTTGTGAGTTTGTGTGTGTTTTTTTCACAAGGAGGAGGAATTGCATACATGCACACACTCCCACATGCGTGATCCGTGTGATGGTCTGCTGTTTGATGCTCGTCTGTGTGTGTGTCATGTGCTACTTACAAACTGCAGGAACACGTGTCCCAGTGCACGCTGGGGATGGGGATCGGGCTGCAGAACGGCCTCCACTGCAGACAGCACCTCTTTGTGCAACTCCAGGATGTCCTCAATATTTGAAAACAGAATCTAAAAACAGGGAGGGTGGGGGGGAGAGGGTGATGTAAGGGGAGGGGATGCAGAGGAAGGAAGGGATAAAGAGGCAGGGTGGAAGGAAGCGAGGGAAAAGGCGAGGGAAAAGGGCAAGGAAGTGACCAACAGATGGACGGAGACGTGGGGGAAAGAGAGCAAATACCATGTTTGAGATTCATAATATTAAAAAAAACAATAATTTTAGAAAGAAGCTTTTGGCTTGTTTTGTTTTTTTGTAGTATTTAAAGGCTGGCCATACCTTGACATGTTCTGGTGAGAGGCACTGTTGGTCATCTGCAGTTTGTCGGATTCTGTGTAAAAATGCCTGAAGGGGAAACAGAAACAGAGCAGGTTTAAGAATAAGTCTTTTTTTGTTGACGACTATTTCTGTCTATGAGAACAGAAGCGTGGTGAGTTTGCTATTATAAACAAGATAACAAGTGGAGGCTTTTTTTAAAAACCTGTGTGCGTGTACACACAAGCGTTGCCTGGGAGTGGAAGTCAAGCTTCCGTCTACTTTTTTTTTTTTTTTAACATGAGTGCGTATGAGCTCTTTGCTTTGAGGAAACAGATACATACATGAGCATAAAACACACAAGCCCTTGAGCGACAGACAGCCACATGCACACTCACATACTTAAGGGAAAATCGCCTTTTATGGCGCTCCACAAAGACGCGTCACAGTTATTTCACTATCCCTTAGGTATTGCGTGTTTTTCTTGTGACACTTAAAGCTCATTGCATGGCTCCGCTGTAGAGGAAGCTAATGCACCTGGGCATCCAGCTGGAAGAAAGAGAAAACAGAACTGCTTAATTGTTGCAGCGTCTGCACACACCACTTCACCGGAGACGAACGCAAAAGGCTCACGTCAAGTTGGGCTTTGCTTGCGTGTGCGGTTGTGCGTGTGTGTGTGCACGCGCCTGCCAATCCCGACTTTGAAAGAAGGGTGCAGAGGGGGAAGTGAATGTGCAAACAGTTTCTTTTATTCTCTCTTCCCCAATTCTCTGTCTGTCAGACACAACCTTCCTGCATGTCAGAGCCTCAAGTGTGAAAAGTGATAGTGTGCCACATGGATGAAGGGTGGAAAAGAACTGCTGGGTTCAATGATGAATGTACATCTGAAATGTAAGTGTCACTGGAGAATACTGCTGTTGTTTCTGAAACCTTGCAGCTGATTCACGCCTGACACCTTAAAAGCTACAATGACAGAAGCAGCGCAATGATCTACACTGCCAGGTGAAAGGGTCAGTGGTTCTAGTGGACTCTTTCTAGATTCCTTTGTTCAGGTTTTGAGATCATCTTTGTAGTAGATTTCCTGCCTCACTACAATGACAGTAAACATGTTTCAAGCAGCAACAGCGTCTCAGTGGTGCTGGATGTTGTTTTAAAAATCAACATGTTTCAACCCCTTTTTACTTCTCAGTGTATCAGTGTTAAATAAATGATGAACAGATTAAAGATAGAACATCTTCCCACATGAGATCAGGCAATATCCGATCAATCAATCCGATTCTTGATCATTTTAGTTGACGCTACGTTTTAGGTGGGTACTATAAAATTATTAAGATTAATTATCCAGGCCAAATATACTTAATTGGAAAAGAAATAGTCTGTATAAAAGCGGTTGGCTCTGTATTCTGTGGATTATCAAGAGCAACCCAGAATGTTGACGAGTAAGAAAATCTGGGATTTTTGCCGACAATATAAAGAAAAACCCTTGAATGCTCTACAGTCACACAGAACATCAGCCAACTACATGCATTACTTACAGTCAGTCCCTTGCCTGTAATGAAAGACTGACACTTGTAATCACACATTTGCTCTAAAGATAGAACGCAGCCAGCCGAGCAGCAGGCTGCAATCATATCATTTCCTCAGAGGCCGAACACGTAGGGAGGATTGTCTCCAGTATTTTGGGTTTTTTTTATTGGCTTTTGCGTCGGTTGCACCAAAATAGAAAGCAAAGGTCCTCGGCAGCGAGCTGCGACCTCGCTAATTAAGATCAGTATTAAAGGGAAGCGGCAGATGTCGTGTTCTTGACTGGTTTTGGGAGGGCGCTGATTGTTCTCGAAGGCGTGCACTAATTAAATCTCCCATATGGCAACTTGTACCGTGTCCACACTGGAGGAGTCACTCGTCTGAGAGATTGCTCACTGGCAGAGAGGACGAGGAGAGGAAACAAGGCTCTTCCTCAGTCGAGAGCAGAGGGAGAAAACAAAAAAAGGCAAAAGGGACAATGTTAGGACAGTGGGCGGGAACTAAAGCATCCAGACTTTGGAGTCATTCTCTATGGACACCTACCATCCAGGACGGGATTCGCTGTTTGAAACAAAATGTGCCACACAGATGTGGCCATCAGCAGGGAGGATGGAGGGAAGGAGCAACAAAGGGATCCTTTCAGCTCAGGTCTCGCCCCGTGACATGGCCATTCTCACCCAGGGTTGTGTTGGCTGTCTTCATTGTTCCGTCACAAAGCACACAGGTTTATTTGAGGGAGAAGAAAAAAAGATGGAGCTCCCTCTGTCCACCAGCATGACAACAGAGCAGAGCATAAACCGGGCATGCGCTCCAAGCATGGTGCAAACGTTTTACAGTCTGGACTGTAATATTTGGTGAGCGTGATCAGAATCGACAACGGGAAATTGCCCCGAAACAAAAGCATTATGGGTATAATTGGAAGGATTTTGACGTTTGATGGACAGCAGTTCGTTGTACTTTGAAAGCCAAGCATCATAATTGGGCAATCTGCAGTCTGGACTTTCGTATTCAGCTACTTCTGAAGTCCTTAACTGTAATGACCACCGGTGACAGAACAGACAGATCAGTCATAGGTGGCAGAAGTTTTGACGTCCGCGGCCTGAATCTGTAACTCGGCCAAAATGACGGCCAAACTCACGGACGAGTAACGCGTGATTCCACGCGGCATCTGTTGAGTCCAGATCGACTTCACGATTCGACACCAAAAAGGAAAAAAATAAAACAGAGTTGATATTTCCAACTCGCACAGAATCACGCAGATGTGAGCGCGCCCTCAGATAACCCTCAGCGTACTGCGAGTCATGCGTAATTTGCATGGAGAGGACAATACCTTGGAGCCTTGCCCCACACACACACACACACACACACACACACACTGACATTTCGATATGAGATGAATATTGAAAAGAGCCATCCTTTCCACAGTACACAGCTAAGCCAGTTGTTATTGGAAAAGGAGAAGAAAAAAAAATCAATCATGAAAAACAAACATAGTAGTCATGACGAGCACTGTAATACGCTACCCACTGGGCGCGCTCGTTAGGCTCATTGCTTCTTAATGAACATGCTGAGAGGCGGCTGGATGTTTGCTTTCTAATCTCCCATCTCAGGTGACCCGGCTGCCTCTTTTTCCTGACATCGCCACATCGTTACCAGTGAGCCGAAGGGCGTGTAATCACGTTGAGTGGAGGATCAGACATTGAAAAATAATATGTACATGTATACGGGGCAACAACCACTCAATAACAACAACTCTCTCTCGTCTGTTACTGAGATCTGACTGAGCCACAGGTGACACACACTTGGCTTGTTATATCTTGTGCATGAGATGCCCAGTTGCCTTTTCCGACTCCTAAAAATAGCGATGGCATCAATCAATGTGTTAATAATAGTCGGTGAGATGAGACACCAAATTCGCTTTTTGATACCCCCGTGCTCGTAATAATGAGTCAGAGTGTCTGCACAGAGGAGGGGGGGGGCTCAGCTGCTGCACGCGGTGGTCTCTTGCCACAGGGGTGATGGGCTGTTGAGAGGGGGGGGGCTGCTCGTGATACAATCCCACGGGAGGCTGGCAACGCAACCGTGATGGAGCTTTTCTTCATAGACCACAAAGTGGCTGCCAAGCACGACACTAATGCAGAATTACACCACTACTATTTCAGAGTGGGAAAGCAGCCAGGGAGGTCACGGTCACGAGTTCCAGAACAACAGAATGCTGTAATGGTTAAAACAGCTTTGTGGAGCCATTTATACATTATTCATGTGGTGGCTTTTTTTCTGAAATATAAAACGTTAAAGTTATCTCATTATGGAAAGCATTGTAATCTTGAACATTTTGCAAAATATTTCACTTATCAGTCATAATAATATTTGGCAGTTTCAGGAGACAGAATGTAGTTTTCACACTTTTTCATGGAAAAAAATGTACAGATTAATCTTACTCTAGTTGTTGAAGAGGAACCAATAACATTCTTCATAATCAGACCTGCTTATTCTCCTCATCGAACACTTCTTCTTCCTAGTCATCAGGCCTTTAATATTCTGCGCTGCAGTTGTGCAAGCATTACAGCACTGACATCATTGCCAGGACTCTCTTCAAGTGCTCAATAATTAGCTCTTTGTTAGCATCTTCACAGGCCCACACCTCTTCCTCTGCCCTCATTTAGAAAGACCGTTGCACACGGGTGTTTTTCACACTTGTGAACTTTCTGTACTTGACGCCGTTTGGCCCAAGAGTTCGGTAAGTTAACTCAAGCGTGAAACCTTCCGTCGAAGTTCAGAGGCAGTTCGGAAAAAGCCCTCTCAGACTCAGGTCCACAACACAACGAGTGTCTGGTAGAAGTCTGCACTGCAAATGGACTTTCTGGTCTTCTGACCACACAAAGGAGAAGCCGGGAATTGAACTGCAGATCTCCTCCTCTACCTCATCAGCCACAGCTGCTTTGGCCCTGGTCACACAAGGGTCCTGCCTCATCATGAAGATGCTGCTTGGTGCACACATGCTGCATTATGACAGCACATGGCTGACTCTGCAAAGAGTGCGTTACTTTTGCACTTCTGCTATTGAGTGTGAAGAGCAGGTCACATTTTGGTGTCCCTTGCATCAGTTCCACTGAAAGCTGTCAAACGGGCTACTTGCTGAATGGCCACGTGCCGCAAAGCTGAGTCACTGTCCGTTTTATTGCAGCAACTTTTGTGCGAGAAAGAGTGAGGACAATTTTAAAAAGCCCAAACTGCAACAGAAGAAGTGCCCATGCATGCCTTTGTCGGTGTGTGTGGGTGTAGGTGTGTGTAGGTGTGTGGCAAGCAAACAGGAAGTGAAAACAGAGCAATCACACTGAACAAAAGCCGACACTTTTTTTTTTTGAAGACCAAATCATTGACAAGTTTGTTTTTCCTTTTCAGGCAGATAGACAGCGATTGGACTCAGCGGGGAGGGAAAACAAACGAAGCAGCGCCTCTCGACACAAAAGCGGCAGATGTTGCCTCAGAAAAAATGAAGTGTGGCTTTTGTGTGAAGGAAGTATGTGACATGTTTGACTGGCCGCTAACTCGACTGCGTTTCC